ACACACACACACACACACACACACACACACACACACACACACACACACACACACACACACACACACACACACACAGCAACAACTTCAATGTATTAAGGAAAGCCAGGAACTATTTTGAGTTTGCATACAAACCTCCTGATCTTCCCCCACATTCGTTTTCTCAACCATATTATGCCTATTCATCTGTTAATGTTATATCTGTGTTACATTTGTAGATGTTCTTAAGATAGCAATATCACAGTTCTATATATTGTCTTATTCAAATGTTTAAACCTTTGCAAAGAACTTGATCTGTTCATTAACACACACCCATATTTATTTCCATGCAAGTTTTTTGTCTTTTAAAATGTTTAATGTGTATTTACACAAATCTTTGCCTTCAACAAATGCGTTTTTAAATTTTATCTCCTGTTGTCTACAGTACATCCCTTTGTACAATACAACGAAAAAGGAACAAAAGTATTTAATAAACAGGATTCAGTTAAAACTGATTTCTCTTCTGTGTCATCATCTTACTATAATCGCGTCGAATTTGCCGAATGTTCTACGTATGTATGTATGTTAACGAAAGGCTCCGTCATTTTTGATCCAAATAGCGCCAAATTCACCGAAGAGATCAATTAATACACTGGACAGGTTCTAAACTTTACTCGGTTGAAAACGGTAAAGATTTTGCTGAAAAACCGTAAAAATTCCAGGAATTTCTAGAGTTTATTCACGATAATTTTCAAAAGTCGAAGCACTGTTCGTGCATCACACACCAGGGGCGGATCCAGGATTTTTTTTAAAGGGGGTGTGGTGTCCAGGAAGAAATAAAGAGCACTTTTTCTTGCTTACTTTTTCTGGTGTTTGAAAAAGCTGCCGATGACCACTTAGGGGGGGTTTGGGGGATCTCCCCCAACATTTTTTTTTTAAAATTGGTCCATTCTGAGAGCATCTGAGCAGTAATTTTGACGTCTGCAATGCAAAAATTTATCAGATACGGTCCCCGGACGCCTACGGACCCCTTTTTGCCCATTTCTAGGTTTTTATAACGAATTTACATATATATAAGTAAATCTTTATCAGAAAAACTAGCGCTAAACAAGATTTTTTTATGGAGACAACACACACACACTTCTCTTATACGCGCGCGCGTGTGTGTGTGTGTGCGCGCGTGCGTGCGTGCGTGCGTGCGTGCATGCGCGCGTGTGTGTATGTGTGTGTGTGTCTGTGTCTGTGTGTGTGTGTGCGTGCGTGCGTGCACGCGCGCGTGCGTGTATGTGTGTGTGTGTCTGTGTCTGTGTGTGTGTGTGCGTGCGTGCGTGCACGCGCGCGTGCGTGTATGTGTGTGTGTGT